AGATAGCAAGAGATTTTCTCATATTACGTGGCGCTACTTTTTCTTCGCGCCCGGTATTTATATTATTGTTACTGTTTTTTTTTTAGTTTTTTAATAAAAAGAGAATAATAACACCATAAATATTTTGATGAAGGAATTTGGTCTCTTCACTGATATTATTTTGCATGGAGGCAAAAGCGTAGCTTTTTGTCCGGTAACATTGATTTCTTTTTACTTGCTAATTATCCAGTATAAAAATACTTATCATAGTTTATTACAGAATTACAACTGGTGGAAAACAATGAGATTACTTGAATCGCAAGCAGTTCGTCCTCACCTAATTGAAACCGTGTATTTCCCAATAATATGTGATAACGTGAAAAGTTTCTTACAATTAATGCATTCGAAGTCTCAAGGCGATAATATTGCACAGGATCCAACCGTTGATATTAAGCTTCTTGTTACGAAAATTCTAGCGACGATTATATTTGGTGACCTAGCAAATAATTCTGCTGCCTTAGAACGCTATTCACATTTATCAAAAAAGATTATTGAATTTACGGATATCAAAGGCAATCTATTGTCAGTGTTTGGTTGGCTAAAATATTTTGGTGTTCGAAAAATCTTAGAAAAAGAAGCACGCCAATTAACCGCAAATAGGGACGAATTCTCGAATGGTCTACTGCAACAAATCAAGGATCGAATGATTGAAAACGGACCAGATTCCGAAACTTGTATTGCCGCCGAAATTTTAAAATCGGTTACGATCGACCCATCATTCGTCGCCTCTCCGTATACACACGAATTTAAAAAAGACGAGAATGGAAAATATGTTTTTGATAATTATGACGTGCGTCACCTTTGTAATGATTTAATGGTTGCGGGGACTTCCACGACAAGTGGTGCTTTATATTGGCTTTTTGCTACTTTAGCCAACCATCCTAAAGTACAACGTAAGATTCAACAGGAATTAGATAGAGTAGTTGGTAGAGGAAAGTTTTATACTTTGGAACATGAAAAAAATTTACATTATTTGAAAGCTACTATAAAAGAAAGTTTACGATTTAAGTAAGAGTTTTTTCTTGTTATTATTAAGCGGGATTCGTAATGTCTATCTAACAAAAAATTCCAACAAACAGGAGCGTTGTAAATCTAAGTTTACCACATTGCAGCTCTCGGGATGAGACTTACAATGGATATCATATTCCCGCAAATGCTGGAATCTTGATCAATTTCAGTGCGGTTCATTCTGACCCTCGACTTTTTGACGAACCTCATGAATTTTTTCCTGAACGGTATTTGGATGACAATGGACATTTAAAGAAATATGACGATATTCAGGATCCATGGGTAATTATTAATATAAGCTATATTCATTTATAAATACAGTAATAATCACTGATATTTTTTCAATAGTCATTTGGTCGTGGACGTCGGGCATGCTTAGGAATAAACTTGGCTTACTGTAATATGCTCACAATTATAGGCTATACATTAACTATATTTGATCTTGAATTGGAAAAAGACTTATTGACTAATGAGCCGATAAAGATTAATCTTGATGCAGGGAGAGGTCACGATTTCGATTATCTTCCACCCGAATACAAATTAATTTTTAAAGTTCGTGAAGGGGTAGATATTGGAACAGCATTAGCCTAATATATCGATAATCAAAAGCATACATGTTTTTCATTTTTAAATAGAGTATTTCAATGTAAAGCAATATAGGTTTTATCGGAGAGTGCGGTGGTATTTTTCGCTTTAAATGTAGATTTTGAAACATGTATATGTTTACCGTACTTTTGATCCATAACATCCGCAAATTTTGACAAATATATGATGAAAAAAAGAGGCGATTTAAAAAGGATAGGACGAGTGACTATTCTCTATTGCAACCTTATTTTGTTAAGAATAACCATCTGCTTCTCAAGATTTTATCAAGTCAGAAATTTCAACATGAAGATTCGATTTGGTTCCGCAATTATGAAACGGACACGAACATTTTGCTAAAAAATCTTAGCGTTTCCAATATCAATTAAATGTTCATATTTTCTATATTCTTTAAAGGCTGATAATTTAGAGAATGTTTGAAAATCTGTTATTATGGGCATGTTAGGAAAATAAGTGATCTTTATGAGTGTTTTTAATTTTAATTTCAATATTTTTATTTTCAGTAAAATCTTAAAGGCTCGACTAAATTAAAAGTGTTCTTCTCTATGAGAAACTATCTATACCAATTTCAAACTTATTATAATAAACTAATAAATGAAAGTAAGTATATTGAATAGGAATATAAAATAAATCTAAAAAAGATAAAGAGTAAAGGTAAAAATATAAAGATAGCAAAATAAAGTAAAGATGAATAGTAAAGATTGAAAAGCTTTAAAGAAATCAATAATATTTCATAATTAGAGCATTCAACTATAAAACAAAATAATAATAAAAATAACTTTCAGGCAAAATGCTCATCTTTGAAACAAAAATTCAAATAAAAAAATATATTATCATTTGTTAATGAATAAAAATTATAATTTAAACTTATATATATGAATATTATTTTACAAGTCATATTGTAGTTTGATATAAAAAATAGTCCAGATCTCATAGTAAATTTGTCAAAAATTCATTAAATCACGATTTTATTAATTCTTTTGAGATCAAGAAGTAATTTAGAAAAAAAATTCTTTTTTTATATAGATTTTTCAAATATATATATTAATTAATATTTCTTTTATATAATTTGTGAAATAATTATTAAATTTAGATAATAAATAATTAGCATAAAAAGAGTTTAAAAAGATAACAAGATATATTATAAAATATAAAAATTAATATAAAAAATAAAAAAGAATACAAGAATTAAATAATAAACTAAATAATACAAAAATAAGAAATAATAATAAAAAATATAGAAATAATATAAATTAATAAATACTTACAGTAATAGCCAAAGATAATGTATAATTGATCAAATTTATTAATAAAATATAGTAAAAATTGGAATTTTTCTCTATATTAATCTTTGTAATTTTATTAATAATTTCTATATAAATTAAAGTTCATAATTTATAGTTTAATATATATTTTTTTCAGATTTTTTAGAATTTTTTTGAAAGAGTTATTCTAATTGCAAAGCATTACAAATTTAATTAAAAAAATTTTTGCAATAACTTTGCAATTAGAAAAAAAAAATATATATTAAACTATAGATTATGAAGTTTAATTTGATATAAAATACAAAATATTTATTAATAAAATTATAAAGTTTAATATTAATCAAAAATTTCAAATTTTATTATATCTTATTAATAAATTTGATTCCTAATATATTATTTTTGGCTATCACTATATATAAGAAAAATAATTATAATAACAAATCAAAAATATAATAATAACTAGAAAAATAATTAATATTATAGTTTTATAAGTTTATATTAAATTATATTATTTTAATTTTATTATATTATATTATTATTTTTATTTTATTTTTTATTTATTTTATTTTCTTAATTTTTTATTTATTTATATTTCTTAAATTTTTTATATTTAATTAAAATATTATAAATTTTTGAATTTTCAATTTCTATCTTTAACTATATGAAATAATTACTAAACTAAGAAAAAGATCTATATACTAATCATTTACAATACAAAAATAAAGTCATGACAGTGTTAAGATAGGATCACAATACAAAGAAGATGTCAAAAATAGGTTATAATGATGTCAAAAAGAGATAAAAATGGAAGCAGAAAGAATTATAATGGGATCAAAAAGAATCAAAACAGTGTTAGCAAAAATAACTCATACTAAAATAAGGATCTAATACTAAAATATGATAATGAATTATGAAATTTAAAATAGAGTTGTACATATACAAAGTTCTCATTGGGGTATTTCAAGAAGTTGACAAACTTCGTCATCAATTACTGCATTTTTGAAAGCTAATCCAAGGGTATGCCAACGTTAAGAAAACATTCGTTTAATACGCACTACAATTTTAATACTTAAACAAATAGCTTATCACTATTTAGGTGCGGGTGTTAGCGGAAGTATCATGTGAGTTATATTTATTTACGTAATCGCTGGATTTTTCTCTTTGCATGAAGGTATGCGTTTTACACACTCCAACCCCGGACGTGATTGTGAACAAAAGTAGGGAATCCTCAACCTTGGAACCGCATTACTTAACACGAAAACCCCAAGGTAATTACTGTTTGATGCTGCCTTTTTTACACGAATTTTATCGAATACTTTGAATAATGAATTGTGAGAAACTTAATAATTCAGCTTATTACGATCAACAAAAAAGTTTTTCGAGATACATGTAGAAAAGGAATGGAATCTCCTTCACGATTTTAATCGCATCGAATTTTTTACTAATGTCAAATTAGTTTACAACTTTGGTCGCGTAATTTTTATTTTATGTAAAAATATATTTTTTGGTAAATCTCGCGTGTGAGTTTACATTCCCCACAGTTTCCAAGTGTGTGTTAAATGTTAACCATATACCTAACTTGAGTCGATTATACGAATTTTATCGCCGATATTTATTTTCGTCCCTATGAATTTCAAAATGACATATTATCAATAATACTATAAATAATTAAAATAAACGAGTTAATTACCAATTTTCTTGTGAACAAGATGCACTCCTTGAATGAAATGTAAGTATAATTAATATGACAATTTTAATAATTTGATAGCTCATAACGATAAGAGATAGAGATTGGCTCACTCACCAATGCAAGGTCGGTGTTTTGATTTTTTATCTAATCTACGATATGATTGTAAGGTTTCGTATACCTCATTACTTTTTCTCTCCCCAGTCTCTGGATTTACGTTAGTAACTGTAAACAACATTCGAGGCATGAATAGCAACATCAGCAACGTCAGCAACGTCAGCAACAACAACAAAAACAACAATAATACTACTCACCAATACACCGAGTACAAAGACGTGCGACGTAAAACAAATTTTCGTCATCTTCACCAATAACAAATTTTTTCCAAGTATCCTCTTCAAAAGGAAATCGACATCCTTTGACCACAATATTAGGTCGAAAATTCCGCATGATAACAGGTGACGACACTCTATTGTTCACATCACTTAACGATTCTTCACTTATCAATAAGAAAGGAAATTTGTCGGCGAATGCTGTCTGCGGTTTAAATCCGAGAACTTGTTCAGTTGGCGCGCATTCTTCAAGGTTCCTTAATTCTTGTGTGGATTTGTATACGATTCGTGATGATACTCCCATATATTCGGTGATCCAGGTTGCTGCCTCGTCACCACAATCGTACGCGTCAAGATTGTTAGACCATACTACGGCTTTTTGTAGTACATGAAGAGATTCTCTAGATACATATATATATATATGTATTTATTATGTGTGCGAGATATATAAATAATCTAAAGACAAAAAACTTTACTTTGGGTTAAGTGGAAGTGATAATTCTCTATCGATTCCTGGTGCTGTCAATACAAGAGATCCTCCATGTTCGTCTTCTGGGCTTTTGTTAATGGTTGGGACTATCAAAGCCATCTAACATAAATCTTTATTTTAGTCATTATATTTAGAATAATATTAACTATGTTTACTTAATTTCATTACCTTTGGAAATTCGCGTTGCGTTCGGAACTTGTAATTCTCATCAACAATCATCCAAAATCTATCATACATAAAACCAAATTTATTGGTTTTCCATGAATCCACTTGGATGCCACGACAAGATTTCACCGGGTAAATATATAAAGTTGTAATTTCCAATTCATGAGAAGTCATTTTTTGTTGAAAAATAATTGAAAGTTAATCGTAATGATCGTTAAAGATAAGGACGATTTTTTCCCTTTTTCATAAATTCACTGGGTTTAATTATACACGTATCGGTTTATCATCGATATACGCTATGGTATCCGGACAAGATCGGCAACCGGAAAAATTAATTGATGGTCCGTCAATAAAAGAGAAGCAATGATCAGCAATCACTAATAAAAAATTGGGATAATAAATACTATACGCGCGTTCAAAACCTCTTTTCTGAGCAATCGCATGTCTGTTTTTAATAAAAAACATAATACACTGTTTTTAGCTGTTGGAGACATAGTAGAACAGTTTCATTATGGTTATTTTGCTTCAAATTGGTGGTTTTTTGTTTCAAAAAACCAGAAATCTATTTGATTACCTTTTCGCATAAATTGCCAAATATGTGTAGAGTTAAACAAAGAACAGCTTGTAGTGCATATAATTGCTAATAATAATTTTCCTGGATTTGTTTCAGAAACAGAACCAAATTGTAAAATTTATTCTAGTATATCTGCTGCAATTAATGCTACATACCAAAAATTGTTTAAAACTCATACGTGCTATTCAGGCTTAGATCTTCTTGGTATAGATGATGATAAAATAGTTGTTCAATTATTATCAGGTGTTTTATTTTGTCCATTTCAAATCAAACTTGACAATATTAAAATTTTTATTGCACACATAGGTACATCAAACAACCAAATGCTCAACTTTACTGGATGTGAATATATAGCCAGTTTCAATCACAAAGTTTGTGATGATTAATATTTAATTGTTCAAATAATCAATGAAGATAATACCACCATTTATGTATATTGAAATGGACTTCAAAGAGAAAAACATACTGACATATTTCTACAAGAAGTATAGAAAAAAATGATGATTTGTCAAGATAAAGATCCTTTGGAATTATTTGGTCTAAATAATCTAATGGTTATAGAAGTAATGAAGATACAATCTGGAACTCTGCTCTGTAATTTTCAACAATAATCAGATCTTGACATAATGATACCAATTTACAAAAAAAATCTCAAATGAAAAATTGTAATCTTCAATCTCTAATGGCATCAATTTTTTATTGATTGGCTAAATCAAAAGAACATTATTATTGAATTTCAAATGATATTAGCATGCATTTATCCACCAAATTATATATTTGTGGATTATGAACTTTGTGTCTGAAGAAAAATAATGAAAGATGTAGGATGTATAAATATAATGCCATTTACAAAAAAAGAATCTCAGGTATTTTGAATTAATTATATATAGTATATAATTATAATTGAAACCTAATTATAATTGAAACCTAATTATAATTTTTATTTTTAGTTGGAATTTTGAATACGTATTATTGATTATTCAATAGATAAAGAAAATATATCAATACTATATTATAGTGATTTATTAAATCTTGATTTTTTTAAAAAGAAAATAATCATATCATCATCAGAAATAAATACTAAAATACAATTTTGAATGAGTTTTTCTAAATTGATTAAAAAAAAATATAGATTAGATGGAAAACAAAGAATATTATCTATAATTGTGGAAAAATTTGGACCTAAAGAATTATATAAAAAATTACAGGTAATTAAAATTAAAAATCAAATACTTACTTTTTTATATTTAAATTTTGAAAAATTTTATTATGACTACCAAAGAATATGCTAAAATAAATAGTTCCAGTTATTCTATATTAAAATCTATTATCACTCGCTCACATGTATCTAAAGTTCAAGATTAATAATTTGAAGTATTTTTTCTGACAAAACAAATATTTTTATAAGCTTCTATGCAATTGATTTGAAAACAAATTTATTTATACTCTATCTTAAAGATAATAAAAAAATACTTTGGGAAAAATTTGAAGCTACTTATTCAGATAGAATCAAACAAACTTCTTTTATAACATGATTAGCAAGTAAAAGATATATATATTGATAAGATTTAGATAGATTATATAATATTTGTAATGATTATGGCTATGAAATATTTGATTCTTTGATTCAATTGGTCAAAACAAATATAATTCAAAAAGAAAATCAAGTAAGTATTAGTATTTGTTATTAAAAATACAAAAAAAAACTAAAAATTAATAAATTTTTTAGCAAATCTTGGTTTGTGATATTGAATTTCTTTGATATCATATAAAATGAGAATTTGAAGAAGAACTATTGGTCAATAATAATGGGATAATAAATCATGTGAGATGCATAAATTATTATCTTTTTTATATATTTGATGTGTGTATACAAGTCTATCCAGAGCAGTGTAAAAAGTGTAATCAATTATTTAATCTTCTTGATCATTTGAAAGAGATTTTATCTTCCAAATATTATCTATTACTTCAAAAATATGAAGAAAAACTCACTTATTTTCTGATATATCAGGCATGAAAAGCCTATCTCAACAATCAATTCAAAGCTCAGTTATTAAAGCTAGATAAAAAAGATATAATAATACTTGCTAACTATAAAATAAAAATTTTGTCCAAGTTAGCATGTGAATAAAAACAAGAATTTTTTGGCAAAAGAAAATGGTTACTACATATTATCCTTATATTCACAAAAAAAGATGAAGCTGTTAAAATCTAAACATTTGATTATTAGTTATCAGATACTAAATAAGATGCTTAATTTATAGCCTTCTTATTTAATATAATGTTTGAAACTCTTGAGATTAAATCAGAATAGATAAAGATATTTTCAGATAATAATAGACATTATCACAGTTCAGAAATACTGACTATAGTTCAAAATTGATATCAGTTATATAATATTGATGTATATGAATAGTTTTTTTTGAAGCTAGAAAAGCAAAATCACTTGTTGATTCATATTATGCTATGGTAAGTTTATTTTTTTGAATTACTTTATCTAGTTATAGTTATTAATTTTTATTTCAACAGTTCTTATATGTAATAAAAAGATATATAAGAATAGAATATACTTTAAATTCAGAAGAATTAATTGTGATAGCTATTCAAAGCCTTGCAGGAACTTTTGTCATGAATATGGAATCCCAAAGAAATTATATGACAATTAAAATAATGGATAAGATATCATATTTGTATTACTGGAAATGGTTTATTTTTGGTAACTATGCTAGTTTTATCTAGTATCCTAGCCATGATAAAAAAAGTGTCAGTCACATGATTTTCTGATTAATATTCAACACTTGATTATATCATGTTATTATAACTGATGCTGAAGTAATAATATACTTTGCAAATCTTTAATTAGCCAAGTCAAGAAAATAATAGCTTTATTATTAGCTTTATTATTAGCTTTATTATAATATTATAATAATAAATATTATATAATTAATTATGATAATATATTTTAGTATATTTAGTTTTTGCCTGTCTTTACAATTATTTTTATTTATATATACATGATCTCAAGTGAAAGTATACAAATAATTCTATAAAATAAGTTGTCTATTGGTCTTTATCACAAAAAAAAGATTTTAAGTTAACATTATTATTGTAAAAATTTAAATAAAATAAAAAATCCATTTATCTTTATTTAAGTTTGAACAAATATATAATCGTAAGTAAAAATTCAAGAATAATTCTAATATTATTATCATTATTCCCATAATTCAAATTTTATAAAGGGAATATCCAACTGCCAAATATTTCACAATATCATATAATCTTTAACTTTCTATTTTTTAGCATCTTTCAGCATCATATTTGTAACTATACCCATATCTTTTTTTATAGCATTCTTCAGCATATGAGATTATGTTACATTCTCTATTTTTTTTCATTTTCTAGTATATGTTGTAGATATTATTGATCATAACAGTTTTCTCTCTTATTTTTTCTCTTTGGCAAAAGCTAATTTGAGTTTGCTGATTTATTTCATAAGTTTAGTAATTTTTGTTTGAATAGTTTGGAATTTGGTTTGCAAGTTGGTATTGCATTCTTGGATTAGCTTGTAATTTTCTTGTTTGATGACTAATTTAGAGTTTTAACAGTGAGATATTTTTCAGCATATGTTATTAATACTATTGATTATGATGATTTTCTTCTCTCCTTATTTTTCCTCTTTGGCAAGTTGATAATTTCTGCTTGAACAGTTTGAAATTTAATTTACAGATCAGTATTGTATTCTTGAATTAGCTTGTAATTTTCTTACTTGGTGACTAATTTAGCAACTTTGACAGTGAGATATTTTTCAGTACACATTATCAATATTATTAATCATGATAATTTTTCTCTCTTATTTTTTTCTTTAGCAGAAGCTGATTTAAGTTTGCTGATTCATTCTGTGAGTTGATGATTTTTGCTTGGGCAGTTTAGAGTTTGGTTTGCAGATCAATATTGCATTCTTGAATTAGCTTATAATTTTTTTATTTGATGGCTAATTCAGTAGCTTTGACAATGAGATATTTTCTAGCATATGTTGTCAATAATATATATATCATGATGATTTTCTAGTATTTTTTAGCACAATCTTTCATATTCTTCAGTATAATAAACCATGTTACTCTTTCTTTAGTCATCCTTTACTGTTACTTAACCTATTAATATAATAAAGAAATTATATACAATTAAAATTAGTATCACTTTTAATATAGTAATTAACAAAAAAATATATAAAATAAATGATTGTTAAATAAAAAAGAAATAAAATTGCATACAAAATCTTTTTTTCAAGAGAAATATTTGTAAAATTACTTCATAAAAATTGTAATTTTAAACTTGTTAGTTAGATTTTTTCCACTAGAAAATATGATAAATTTGTTAGGTTCTTTAATTCAAAAGGTAAAATATATTATTGATTAAATGATTTAATTGATCTGAGTTTAAGACTTTTAACTAGAAAAAAACAGGAATAAAAATAGATTAGTTAATAATTAATACACAAAATCTTCTTTACCCATCTCATAATTATCTTTAGAAATATCTATATTAAATGATATTTATAAATGATAAAATTAGTCTAATCACTCTTTCTTATTTACCATCACAGTTCATAATTTTTCCCAAATTCATGAAACTCTAATTTATCTGTGATAGTATCAAATCCATTAATCTTTATTGCAAGAAAAAGAAAAATAAAATTGCATATATTATCTTTTCTCAAAGAGAAATACTTGTAAAAATCATATCATAGAATTATAATTTTAATATGTTAATTAGACTCTTTTCATCAGAAAAAATAATAATTTGAATTAAATTCTTTAGATAAATATATTATTGATTAAATGATTTGATTAATCTGAGTTTAAGACTTTTAGCTAGAAAAAGAACAGAAATAAAAATAGATTAGTTAATAATCAATATATGAAATCTTCTTTATCTACCTTATAATTACCTTTGGAAATATCCATATTAAATAATATTTATAAATGATAAAATTAGTCTAATTACTCTCTCTCACCTACTGTTACAGTTCACAATTTTTTCCAAATTCATGAAACTCTAATCCACCTGTGATAGTATCAAATCTATTAGTCTTTATCATAAGAAAAAGAAAAATAAAACTGCATATATTATCTTTTCTTAAAGAGAAATACTTGTAAAAATCACGCTATAGAATTATAATTCTAACATATTAATTAGACTTTTTCTATCAGAAAAGATGATGACTTAGATTAGATTCTTTAAGTAAAATATATTATTGATTAAATAATTTGATTAATCTGAGTTTAAGACTTTTAGTTAGAAAAAGCATAGGAATAAAAATAAATTAGTTAATAAATCAATACACAAAATCTTCTTTACTCTATCTTATAATTTTCTTTGGAAATACTCATATTGAATGATATCTATAAATGATAAAATTACTCTAATCGCTCTCTTCCATCCACTATCATAGTTCATAATTTTTTTCAAATTTACAAAATTCTAACCCACCTGTAACAGTACCAAATTCATTAATTTTTATCACATAAAAAGCTTCAAATTAACTTCATAATTATAAATATCTAAAGAAAATAAAAAATTCACTTACCATTCAAACTAAAACATGATCCCAAGTGAAAGTGCAAGTAAAAAAAAAGCTTCAGGTTAATATCAAAAAATAAAAACCAAATTTAATAATTATCTACTAATTAAATCAAAAGATTATGATAATTAGTAGTCTCTTATAAACTTATCTTTATTAATTCAGTAATATGATATACTTTTGTGACAGATTTTTACTAAAAAACTGCTAGTAGAAGGATTGCATATATGTAAGGAACAATTTATAATAGATAATTCAGAATGTAAATTGCTATAACATAAATATGTAAATATATTAAAATTGAATATTTTTGCTAATATTATTAAAACTATATAATTTAACACAGCTACATTATCAAGAAACAAAATAAGTAAAAGCAATTTTAAAGGTAATACCCAAGTAATTATAATGACTGCATTAAAAAAAAAGATTAAAAAAAGTATATATATATTTCATCTCCTTTAATAGTTCCTATTCAAATCTCTGAATCCAAAGTATACTCCAGCTACTATCATGCAAAAATAATAATAGACTTTTGTTATAATAATCCAACATACAAGTATGCAATCTGTAACTATTGCTATGAAAGATATAAGAATAAAAGAGGAATTGATATGAATCTAATATCAAAAAAAAAGCTAAACTGGAAATTGATCTAAATACAGTCATTCAAAGTATAAGTACTGCAAGTGATACTAATGTCTCTCAAATTAATATTATCTTAAAAGAACTGTTTTCAGAGCAAGATGATCTTATTGAAGAGCAAACAACAAATTCAGATGATATTTAAAATGACTGATATAATAATAATATTAGTAGACTTCTTTATAATTTAGATAAGATAGCAAAGTATGTTAGTATAAAATTTCAAAATTCAGAAAGTAATAATGAACCTATAAGATTAGTCTTTGAAATAGAGCTGAATTCATGACTTGCTGAAAGTATTTCTTGTAATCTTCAGTTAAAAGCATTTGATTTAGAAATAACTAAGAGCAATTTTCTTTAACTTGTAAAAATAGTTCTTTTTATAATTAAGACCAGATCTCAGTATTACTGGGAAGTACATAATATATATCTAAATTGCAAAGAGAAGAGATTCATCAGTCATATAATAGTATATCTTAATTATATACAATATGAGAATTATTAATAGTAAAGATCTGAAAATTAATCAGTAAAGCATATAAGTGAAGTCAAAACTCTAATAAATAGATATATTTGTAAGAGAAATGTTATATTTACTATTAATTCTCAATAGTATCATATTCTAGTTTAAGTTTAGCATCTAGAAACTCATATATTCTCAGCATCAAAGAATCCAGTTTCCTATAAAGACAAAAGAATGGATTAAAGAAAATATTAAATATAATTGAAATTACAAGTTTTATAGATATCTTTATAATGAGAGGCTTATTAATTCTGAAGTATATACGAGAGAGTAGATATATTATTGAACATCTATTTTTAGTAAGAAGACATATATAATGAATGCTAAAAATCAGCTCATATTGGTAAAGTCTTATATTGAACAATCTGAATTTGTGGCAAAAGATTTTAAAATTATTTATTATGTTAAAAATAATTTTGTAAAGACTCTCAGATTTATGATATTATTGCTTAACCATATTGGTATTGAAAATATAAACAAGATTATTATAGATTCTATGTTTAAAACTAATTAAGAGTACTTCAAGCTCTTTATTATAAATATCAATTATGATGAATATGATATACCTTTAGCATACTTATATTTTTTAATATTTAGTAGTATTAAACAAGTATATTATAATTTTAAGAATTAAATCAATATGAGAATATAAGTTCTCTGTAGATTTTTCACCAGTCTTTGAAAAATGGGTCTATTGCCAGTATTTTGTCTAGTTAACAAAGATACTAAAAAGATCTCAGCTGTGAGTGAGAAATGATTGAATATTATTAACCTTTAGCTATGTTATTAATATCTTGAGCATGCTATTAGCAAATGATTAAAGGACAAGAAATCAAAAGCAAGTGCATATACTATAGCAAAAGCTTCAGAGATTCACAAATAGTTTGATTTTATTGACCCTTTCTAAATACTAAATTAAAATATTAGAAATCTATATCCAGAAGATTCTATCAAAGAACTCTTAGATATAGTAAAAAGATATATGAATATGCATTTACTTATACCAATAGCCAAGAATATTTTCTGAAGCTCTGCTAAAATCTATTAAAGCTATGTGAAGGAAATTTACCAGTTTTGCTATAGCTATAATCTTGCTGAATTATGGAGATACCTGTAGATAAACTGGTATAATAAAAAAGACTGGAAGCTTTTTTCTTGGTTAGCATATCTAATTATCATGCTATTAGCATAAATTACCATGATTACAGAAAGTTATTGGTGAATTCTTAAATATAACTATAAATATAATTACAATCAATCATGTTTAAACTATCTTACTCAGATCCTTATAGAATAATTGATATCTGATTTTGATCTCAAAATGAATTAATTTAAAGAAAATTGGATATTTTTATTATGATAGAATGGTTTTAAAATTGATTGAAGAAAAGTGGTAATCATAAAAATCCAGCCTGACATGGATAAAATCTATTATATTGATATAAATAACTGAATATGTTCTTGTCCAGTATATTTTCATAGCTGTTATCTTATCTGCAAGTATCTTGTTGCAAAAAAAAGTAATATCCATTTTTGGCCTATCTTCTCAAAAACAATATATCAATATGATTATCCTTTACTTACTTTTGAAAAAGATAAAGTATTAATAATCAATTCAATAAATAATTCCTAGTTTCAATATAGGATGAATAATCTTGATAAAGAAAGTGATAACTTACAAGATGCATCAACAACTAATCTTGTTAAAAAAGAGAGCTCAAGTATTATTAACTTATCAATAACTGTAAGATATAATATAATTAATGAAAGACAAGAAAAAACTACTTCTTATAAAAAAACTATAGAAATTATATTTATCTTATATGAATGAGAAATAGATAATGACTACTTTGTAAATACCTTTGATAGCTTGTTGAAGCCAGTAGTAAAAGTAATTAATGAGTATCAGGAGATATTACAAGCTCATAGTTAACAAGAAACTAAAAAATTAAAAGAAAAAAAACTTATATTTTGATTATGTTAATTCTAGAAAAAAAAGAAAATTAAAATTATTTAGCATGTTATAGTATTATGATAAAGCTAATAATAAAGCTATTATTTTCTTGACTTAACTAATTAAAGATCTGCAAAATATATTATTACTCTAGCATTAGTCATAATAACATGATATAGCTGAGTGCTGAATATTGATTAGAAAATTATATAGCTAACACTTTTTTTTACTGTGACTAGGATATTAGTTTTATTCAAGACAGAAAATTGTCATATATTAGGAAATAGATCCATTTTTTATCTTTTGATATAGAAAAATCGATGGAAAAGCCAATTCATAAGCCAACACTCAAAGTTTTATCTTATATAATCTCTCAAAGTTCATGAAAAATTTCTATTTCTCAAAAAAATGGTAAGCATAAGATTAAACTAAAAAGTTAGTATTTGAAATAATATCTAATTATCTTATATAAATACATATATCAAATCAAAATTAGTTAAAGAGAAGAATAAAGATAAGTAAAAAGTTATGAATTAGAGATTTTTTATTATTTTGACAATAAATTTCAATTAAGCAGACAAAAGTAAATCAAGTAATCCTGTATTTAAATCAGATTTTTCTCTTATAAGTGATTGAGTCTTAAAAAATAGACAAAAGTTAGGAAAGCATAATTCTGAAAAAAGAATAAGTGAAAAAGTAAAAGATTATCTGAAAGTATTTTTTATAGTGGATAATGCAAATAAAACTGAGTGTATATCAGCTGAGAAGATGATAAAAGTATTAAATAAATTAGTCAAAAAAGACGAATTTGAGACTGATGAAGTTTCTAAAGTCAAGACTATTAATTCATGAATTATCAAATATTCATATATAATATGTATACTTGTCATTAAAGAAAGACAGAAAGTTACAATTCAAACTGATGAGTCAAGTCAAATTACAAATGCAGAGAAAGGTATAGTTATTGGAAATATAAATGAGCAAGACATGAGACATAATACTTCTAGTAGCTAAAAATAGAGCAAATGAAGAAAAAAGTCTTAATTTTGGCTAAAAATAACAAAAATATATATAGTATTAATTATGTAATAATAGATTTAATTGAGTTTACCTGAAAAATCTCTATTTTTGATATAGTAAAGACCAAAATAAAAGCTTTCAAAGATATCTTTTTTATAAAAACCAAATTTTGAGACTTTTTGTACTATTTGCACTTTTTATTGATCAAAAACACATGACTAACTGGAAAGTTATGTAGGAGCTAATTATTTCTATCTTTGATTAGTTATATATTTAATTGATCTCAGTATAATACTAATTGTTAATTCTTCTTTATTTACAGATTATCAATTAAGTAAAATCCAAGCAGATTTTTTATTTACATAGCTATTAAATTTTAAAAATTTCTTATAATTATTCTCAAGATAAGTAAATTTAATATATTACTTTATATAATGATTATATTATTACTATTATCTTCAATATTATTAACTTTAGCCTTTTCTTTTGAATAATAATTCTTAGCAAAATGATTTAGTTTATCATAGTTATAATAATTATAATTATTATTATTTCTGTCATAATTATTAATATTATTATTACTATTACTATTATAGATTGATAAAAATCTTTAATATAATCTAGTTTTATAAATATAAAATTAATATTATTATGCATATTATTATAAGAAGAATTTTGATTTCTTTTATACTTTTAATTATAATTATTATCAATTTTAAGAGAGTAATTAATATTAAATATAGCTATATTATAATAAATTGCAAGTTTTCAGATAGTATTAAAAGTTTCAAATATTATAAATATATATATATATATATATATATATAAGTATGTAACATTTAGATATGAATATGAAGATATATAAAAAAAGAAGTTAATAGTAAATATATATATATATATATATATATAATATTAATCTTTTCTACTACTATCAAAATTATAATCTTTCTAGTTATATTATAAAATATATCAGAAAAATTCACGTAAAAAATTCAAGATATATAATAATGTAAATTAAAGTAGAATTCATACAAAAAACTAATTCAAGACAAATAAGATTATTATATTAAAACTTATTCTTTATTTATTATTATATTATTATTAAAAATATAAAATAAAAACAGAATCTTTAAATAATAATTTAATATTATATAGAATTAATAATATTATTATAGTGAATTTGTAAGTGGAATTTCATTTTAATTCATTTTAATGATATAGAGTTGGAAGAGACTGAAATAATTAAAGATAATAAGAGGGAAATTAAACTATAACTTTCAATAATAACAAAAATTTCTAAGATCTGTGCTAATATTTACAGATATTGTCTTAATAATAGTAATTAAATAAAGAATAAATAAATAAATCAAAGAAATTATAAAGATTAATTAAGTGAAGTTACTAGTAATCTGATATAATTCAAGATTTGAATTAATTAAATAGCAAGCTATTAATCAAAAAAGACTATAACTAAAGTAAAGATATAAACTAAAATACAAAAACTAAATAACTAAACAAATAAAAGTTATAGATTATTTATAATAGAGATCTTCTACTCTCAAAAATAATAAAAGAAATAAAATAAAAAGTGTGACTTATCTATAGTAAAGATCTTCTACTCTTAAAATAATATCAAAAATATCAAAAATTAATATAATATTATAATTCAAAAATCAAAAATCAATTTTGTATGGTCAAAGAAATAAAACTGAGTGAAAGAAAGGATACTAGCATAATTTGAAAAAAAATCTTATAAAAAGATTACTATTATTATAATAATAAGTTTTTAAATTATATTTTCCAAATAATTCAATTCAAAACTATTTATTT